CATGTCGTTGATGCTTGTTTTTCACAACACTTAGACAGTATAATCGCCAAAAGGTTAAAGTTTATTTAAATTTGTTTTTTTATTCATTTTCGAGGCTTTTTGATATAAAAAACTTTTCCTAACATTGTATAGCACTTCATTTATTTATTTATTTGCGCAAACACTGTTTTATTTGCAAATAAAATAAAAACAATTTATGTAGTACATATATAAAGATAAGACACCTAGAAATCGTGCCGCTTTCAATTATAAGATTATAAATTTTTATAATATTTCCACAAAAATTTTAACAACAATTAATTTTAAACAAAAAAATTTGTCTTATCGCCTCAAATTAAGTAGAAACAGCAAGAACCTTAACAAAACTACGCCAAATTATAACCAAAATTAAAAATATGACACACCCACCCTAAACTTTGGACTTTAACATTAGGGGTATTTAAACAAGTTATTATTTGTTTACATTTACTCCAAAACAATTGTCAAATGACCATAGGTGGTCGCATTTATTTTCCTTATTTTAATTTAAATTTTATTTATAAGTTTATCAATGATTAAAGGTTGTTACCATAAAAACAACAAATATTTTTTTAAATAAACATAAATACTTCATAAAGATAAAATTTTTATTAACTAATTAAAATAAAAATTTAAATACGACACCAGGTTTTAATTCTATAACATACACACAATTTATTTATTTATTTAATAATTAATAAATAAAAAACAAGCAGCAGACTAAACAGTCAGATACCATACATAAGATCAAAAGTAAATATTTTATTTTTTTAAATACATATTCTAAAATTTTAGAAACTAAATGAGAAATATGAAGAGTGAGAGAAACAATGTTAGAGAGAATATATAAAAATTAATTTTAAATTTCTTACCCTCCTACTTAAGGCGAGTAGAATATAGGTCGATCTTCTTTATGGTGTTTGTAACATTTAGAATAAAGCAATGTCGTTCAAGGTAAGTACATACAATGTTATTTATTTATACTGACCTTGTTAGGACTAGTTAGACCAATATGCTTTAACAAAACAATAGTAGTTCCTAGATTCTGTCTTCGTTTTTGTTCTGAAATTCTAGTAGAGTATATACGATTCGACTTGGCAGTTTACAACTTAATTTATATTATTTTATCTTGCCGATAGACTTTTGACTTTCGAACAATTTTATTTGTTGTTTAAGTGTGAACTTTGTATTATTTTATGACGACAAATAAATGTAAAAATTATAAAATATTATTTCATTGAAAGAAACTTAAATAGAATTCTGGCGTATTTCGACTTGGGAAGCAGTATACACTAAAATATTAGTATTTTAATTCTATTCAATAAAAGGACAGCTATGTGAAAATCACCAATTTTTGTTTTTTAATCAAGAGAGTCTTATTAAAATTATTAATTAAATTTAACACTCATAATTGCAAAATTGAAGATTATATTTAGTTTGATTTTGTCAACGTCATGATGATATTTTATCAACTGTGTAGAGATATTATTATAAAAGTTATCAGTTTGAAGTCTATGTATATGTTTCAGAAATGAGTAATACCAAAGGAATTCTCAGATATTCCAAAATTTTTTATAAATCTTCTAATTTTTTTAATATTTAAAAAAGGTTTCATTGAATTACTGCAGTTCATCATATAGTAAAGACTATAATCTGGACTATAGTCTAACCTACCGTCTGCATTTTAGTCAAGTCTAAAATCTAGTGTTATGGATTGGATTAAACTATAGTATTATATATATTCCAGACTATAGACTATACTATAGTCCACACAATAGACTATACCGTAGTCCAGACTACAGAGTAGACTATATGGACTAGTCCAGATTATAGACTAGACTATGGTCTATATTATGAACTAGCATATAGTCCAAATTGTAGACTAGGTTATAGTTCATACTTTAGACTAAACTATATTTCAGACTATAGTTTTGACTATATTTCAGATTTTGGATTATAGTCCAGACTATAGCCCTGACCATAGACAAGACTATAGTCCAGACTATAGACAAGACTATAGTCCTTACTATAGACAAGACTATAGTCCAGACTATAGACAAGACTATAGTCCTGACTATAGACAAGACTATAGCCCTGACTATAGACAAGACTATAGACAAGACTATAGTCCAGACTATAGGCAATACTATAGTCCTATATATTATAGTCCAGACTATAGACTAGACTACTGACAAGACTATAGTCCAGACTGTAGACAAGACTATAGTCCAGATTATAGACAAAACTATAGTCCAGACTATAAACAAGGCTATAGACATGACTATAGTCCAGACTGTAGACAAGATTATAGTCCAGACTATAGACAAGACTATATCCAAACTATAGACAAGATTATAGACAAGACTGTAAACAAGACTATAGAGAAGACTATAGACAAGACTATAGACAAGACTATAGACAAGACTGTAGACAAGACTATAGACAAGACTATGGACAAGATTATAGACAAGACTATAGACAAGACTACAGACAAGACTATAGACAAGACTATGGACAAGGCTATAGACACGACTATAGACAAGACTATAGACACGACTATAGACAAGACTATAGACAACACTATAGATAAGACTATAGACAGGACTATAGTCTAGACTATATGGACTAGTCTTTAGTCTGGACTATAGTCTAGTCTTTAGTTTGGACTACATGTAGTCAATAATTTGGACTAACTTTTAGTCAATAGAGTGGATAATAGTCTAGTCTATAGTCTGGACTATAATATAGTCTTTAGTCTGGACTATAGTATAGTCTATAGTCTGGATTATAGTATAGTCTATAGTCTACTGTATAGTCCAGTTTATAGTCTAGTCTATGGTCTGGACTATAGTCTTGTCTATAGTGTGTGCTATAGTCTAGTCTGTAGTCTGTGATAAAGTCTAGTCTATAGTTCCATAATATTTTTCCCATCAACAATTTGATGTCAATGGCCTTCTCTTGTGGTCTAACGCTGGAATTGTGTTTGCGCAATTAAATGATCTAATGTCTAAAATCTATATTATAAAGAAACTAAATAAATATGTATTAAATAAATAAACAAATATGAGAACTTTTTTCTCTAAATTTACTTATTACACACTACTGGTCTATAATTAGATTTGAAAAAAACCAAAATTGTTAATTAATTAATCAAACTTGCATAAAGTATTCTAAAGCTGAACACATCGAAACGTATGAAATTCAGAACTTTTTGAGAGGCATGTCGCTAAAAAAAAACAGCTGATTTCCTTAAGCAGCGTGTTATTTCGATTTCTGAGAGATTGTTTTTTTTTGTTGATAAACATTATCAATAAATTGTTGTTTTTAATGTTTAGTGCGAAATATAAATTTATACGTCTTTCGCGGAGAGTCCAACACAATTAGTTGGTGTTAGGAAACGAAACTGAAAAGTGGTATGATTATTAAAATAACGGAATAATTTTAATTTTAAAAAATAAGCGTGCTTAAAATTAAATACATATATGTATGTAGCAGTAACTTGGAAGAGATATTCTTTTGTTTAAAGAAAAAAGTTTAATAAAAAATGTAAAGAAGTGTTTTATATATGCAATAAAGATAAATATTTATTAACAAAAGAAAATTATGTAATAACAAAGAATATATTTTTTGGATATAAAACCATTAACAAGTGTGTTGGTTTTGTAATTTCATATGGATTCCTCTTTTTTAGATAAATACATAAATAACTCGCCATTTCCGATCATGAGTTTTTGTTTGTTTGTATAAGTAAATTATTCACAATACCCGCGCGGCATTTCTCAATATCATTTGTGTGTTTTTTTATAAAAAAAAATCAACAAGAACAAAAATAATTTAAAATATTTTATGAATATAAATATTTCTGCAACCAATTCATCATTTAAAAAGTGATTAAAATATTTGGACACCTAAAAAAGAAACGTTATCACACCTTTTAACCAAAAGTTTGCTGTCTTTGGAAAAGTATTAAAAAAAAAAAAATATTTGCACTACCTTAGAAAAATTGCTAATAATAATATTAAATATTATATCAAGTCCTATATAAATAATATATGATTAAATAATTAATCATAAAACAAACAAATCAAATAACACAAATTAACTAAAGAAATACAGTGGCATCGATAAAAACTGGACAAATAATTTCAACAAAAATTTACAATTCAAAATATGTGATTTATGATTTTAGACCATTTTCAAAAAAATATGTTTAATTTATAGATTTAGACATTGATATACGCTTTAGTAGTCAAGTGATTCTTTATAGTTTACTGGAAATCTTTTAAAGAAGTGATTACACTGTGTGACAGTAAAAAATTACTCTAATTGAGTAGATCACCCTATAATGTTGACAATTTGAAACATTCCCTTCAAATCTGACGTTTTAGCAATGGCAATTGCTGCAAAAGAGTCTATAGTTTAGTCTATAGTCTAGTCTAGTCTATGGTCTAGTCTAGTCTATGGTCTAGTCTATAGTCTAGTCTATAGTCTAGTCTATAGTCTAGTCTATAGGCTAGTCTATAGTCTAGTCTATAGTCTAGTCTATAGTCTAGTCTATAGTCTAGTCTATAGTCTAGTCTATAGTCTAGTCTATAGTCTAGTCTATAGTCTAGTCTATAGTCTAGTCTATAGTCTAGTCTATAGTCTAGTCTATAGTCTAGTCTATAGTCTAGTCTATAGTCTAGTCTATAGTCTAGTCTAGTCTATAGTCTAGTCTAGTCTATAGTCTAGTCTATAGTCTAGTCTAGTCTATAGTCTAGTCTAGTCTATAGTCTAGTCTAGTCTATAGTCTAGTCTATAGTCTAGTCTATAGTCTAGTCTATAGTCTAGTCTATAGTCTAGTCTATAGTCTAGTCTATAGTCTAGTCTATAGTCTAGTCTATAGTCTAGTCTATAGTCTAGTCTATAGTCTAGTCTATAGTCTAGTCTATAGTCTAGTCTATAGTCTAGTCTATAGTCTAGTCTATAGTCTAGTCTATAGTCTAGTCTATAGTCTAGTCTATAGTCTAGTCTATAGTCTAGTCTATAGTCTAGTCTATAGTCTAGTCTATAGTCTAGTCTATAGTCTAGTCTATAGTCTAGTCTAGTCTATAGTCTAGTCTAGTCTATAGTCTATAGTCTAGTCTATAGTCTATAGTCTAGTCTATAGTCTAGTCTATAGTCTAGTCTATAGTCTAGTCTATAGTCTAGTCTATAGTCTAGTCTATAGTCTAGTCTATAGTCTAGTCTATAGTCTAGTCTATAGTCTAGTCTATAGTCTAGTCTATAGTCTAGTCTATAGTCTAGTCTATAGTCTAGTCTATAGTCTAGTCTATAGTCTAGTCTATAGTCTAGTCTATAGGCTAGTCTATAGTCTAGTCATAGTCTAGTCTATATAGTCTAGTCTATAGTCTAGTCTATAGTCTAGTCTATAGTCTAGTCTATAGTCTAGTCTATAGTCTAGTCTATAGTCTAGTCTATAGTCTAGTCTATAGTCTAGTCTATAGTCTAGTCTATAGTCTAGTCTATAGTCTAGTCTATAGTCTATAGTCTAGTCTAGTCTATAGTCTAGTCTAGTCTATAGTCTAGTCTAGTCTATAGTCTAGTCTAGTCTATAGTCTAGTCTAGTCTATAGTCTAGTCTAGTCTATAGTCTAGTCTAGTCTATAGTCTAGTCTAGTCTATAGTCTAGTCTATAGTCTAGTCTATAGTCTAGTCTAGTCTATAGTCTAGTCTATAGTCTAGTCTATAGTCTAGTCTATAGTCTAGTCTATAGTCTAGTCTATAGTCTAGTCTATAGTCTAGTCTATAGTCTAGTCTATAGTCTAGTCTATAGTCTAGTCTATAGTCTAGTCTATAGTCTAGTCTATAGTCTAGTCTATAGTCTAGTCTATAGTCTAGTCTATAGTCTAGTCTATAGTCTAGTCTATAGTCTAGTCTATAGTCTAGTCTATAGTCTAGTCTATAGTCTAGTCTATAGTCTAGTCTATAGTCTAGTCTATAGTCTAGTCTATAGTCTAGTCTATAGTCTAGTCTATAGTCTAGTCTATAGTCTAGTCTATAGTCTAGTCTATAGTCTAGTCTATAGTCTAGTCTATAGTCTAGTCTATAGTCTAGTCTATAGTCTAGTCTATAGTCTAGTCTATAGTCTAGTCTATAGTCTAGTCTATAGTCTAGTCTATAGTCTAGTCTATAGTCTAGTCTATAGTCTAGTCTATAGTCTAGTCTATAGTCTAGTCTATAGTCTAGTCTATAGTCTAGTCTATAGTCTAGTCTATAGTCTAGTCTATAGTCTAGTCTATAGTCTAGTCTATAGTCTAGTCTATAGTCTAGTCTATAGTCTAGTCTATAGTGTAGTCTATAGTCTAGTCTATAGTCTAGTCTATAGTGTAGTCTATAGTCTAGTCTATAGTGTAGTCTATAGTGTAGTCTATAGTCTAGTCTATCTAGTCTATAGTCTAGTCTATAGTCTAGTCTATAGTCTAGTCTATAGTCTAGTCTATAGTCTAGTCTATAGTCTAGTCTATAGTCTAGTCTATAGTCTAGTCTATAGTCTAGTCTATAGTCTAGTCTATAGTCTAGTCTATAGTCTAGTCTATAGTCTAGTCTATAGTCTAGTCTATAGTCTAGTCTATAGTCTAGTCTATAGTCTAGTCTATAGTCTAGTCTATAGTCTAGTCTATAGTCTAGTCTATAGTCTAGTCTATAGTCTAGTCTATAGTCTAGTCTATAGTCTAGTCTATAGTCTAGTCTATAGTCTAGTCTATAGTCTAGTCTATAGTCTAGTCTATAGTCTAGTCTATAGTCTAGTCTATAGTCTAGTCTATAGTCTAGTCTATAGTCTAGTCTATAGTCTAGTCTATAGTCTAGTCTATAGTCTAGTCTATAGTCTAGTCTATAGTCTAGTCTATAGTCTAGTCTATAGTCTAGTCTATAGTCTAGTCTATAGTCTAGTCTATAGTCTAGTCTATAGTCTAGTCTATAGTCTAGTCTATAGTCTAGTCTATAGTCTAGTCTATAGTCTAGTCTATAGTCTAGTCTATAGTCTAGTCTATAGTCTAGTCTATAGTCTAGTCTATAGTCTAGTCTATAGTCTAGTCTATAGTCTAGTCTATAGTCTAGTCTATAGTCTAGTCTATAGTCTAGTCTATAGTCTAGTCTATAGTCTAGTCTATAGTCTAGTCATAGTCTAGTCTATAGTCTAGTCTATAGTCTAGTCTATAGTCTAGTCTATAGTCTAGTCTATAGTCTAGTCTATAGTCTAGTCTATAGTCCAGTCTATAGTCTAGTCTATAGTCTAGTCTATAGTCTAGTCTATAGTCTAGTCTATAGTCTAGTCTATAGTCTAGTCTATAGTCTAGTCTATAGTCTAGTCTATAGTCTAGTCTATAGTCTAGTCTATAGTCTAGTCTATAGTCTAGTCTATAGTCTAGTCTATAGTCTAGTCTATAGTCTAGTCTATAGTCTAGTCTATAGTCTAGTCTATAGTCTAGTCTATAGTCTAGTCTATAGTCTAGTCTATAGTCTAGTCTATAGTCTAGTCTATAGTCTAGTCTATAGTCTAGTCTATAGTCTAGTCTATAGTCTAGTCTATAGTCTAGTCTATAGTCTAGTCTATAGTCTAGTCTATAGTCTAGTCTATAGTCTAGTCTATAGTCTAGTCTATAGTCTAGTCTATAGTCTAGTCTATAGTTTAGTCTATAGTCTAGTCTATAGTCTAGTCTATAGTCTAGTCTATAGTCTAGTCTATAGTCTAGTCTATAGTCTAGTCTATAGTCTAGTCTATAGTCTAGTCTATAGTCTAGTCTATAGTCTAGTCTATAGTCTAGTCTATAGTCTAGTCTATAGTCTAGTCTATAGTCTAGTCTATGTTAGTTTGAAAGGAGGATGTATATACATCAAATCCGAAGAAATACACCTAGGCCTCTATCGGGCCTGTTGTGCGCTCCTTAACCAGTGCCTCAGGTGGGAATTGAACCCACCACCTCCCGTCTACCAGACTAGAACACTAACCACTAACCTACCGGAGGCCACTAGTCTAGTCTATAGTCTAGTCTATAGTCTAGTCTATAGTCTAGTCTATAGTCTAGTCTATAGTCTAGTCTATAGTCTAGTCTATAGTCTAGTCTATAGTCTAGTCTATAGGCTAGTCTATAGTCTAGTCTATAGTCTAGTCTATAGTCTAGTCTATAGTCTAGTCTATAGTCTAGTCTATAGTCTAGTCTATAGTCTAGTCTATAGTCTAGTCTATAGTCTAGTCTATAGTCTAGTCTATAGTCTAGTCTATAGTCTAGTCTATAGTCTAGTCTATAGTCTAGTCTATAGTCTAGTCTATAGTCTAGTCTATAGTCTAGTCTATAGTCTAGTCTATAGTCTAGTCTATAGTCTAGTCTATATCTAGTCTATAGTCTAGTCTATAGTCTAGTCTATAGTCTAGTCTATAGTCTAGTCTATAGTCTAGTCTATAGTCTAGTCTATAGTCTAGTCTATAGTCTAGTCTATAGTCTAGTCTATAGTCTAGTCTATAGTCTAGTCTATAGTCTAGTCTATAGTCTAGTCTATAGTCTAGTCTATAGTCTAGTCTATAGTCTAGTCTATAGTCTAGTCTATAGTCTAGTCTATAGTCTAGTCTATAGTCTAGTGTATAGTCTAGTCTATAGTCTAGTCTATAGTCTAGTCTATAGTCTAGTCTATAGTCTAGTCTATAGTCTAGTCTATAGTCTAGTCTATAGTCTAGTCTATGTTAGTTTGAAAGGAGGATGTATATACATCAAATCCGAAGAAATACACCTAGGCCTCTATCGGGCCTGTTGTGCGCTCCTTAACCAGTGTCTCAGGTGGGAATTGAACCCACCACCTCCCGTCTACCAGACTAGAACACTAACCACTAACCTACCGGAGGCCACTAGTCTAGTCTATAGTCTAGTCTATAGTCTAGTCTATAGTCTAGTCTATAGTCTAGTCTATAGTCTAGTCTACAGTCTAGTCTATATTCTAGTCTATAGTCTAGTCTATAGTCTAGTCTATAGTCTAGTCTATAGTCTAGTCTGTAGTCTAGTCTATAGTCTAGGCTATAGTCTAGTCTATAGTCTAGTCTATAGTCTAGTCTATAGTCTAGTCTATAGTCTAGTCTATAGTCTAGTCTATAGTCTAGTCTATAGTCTAGTCTATAGTCTAGTCTATAGTCTAGTCTATAGTCTAGTCTATAGTCTAGTCTATAGTCTAGTCTAGTCTATAGTCTAGTCTATAGTCTAGTCTATAGTCTAGTCTATAGTCTAGTCTATAGTCTAGTCTATAGTCTAGTCTATAGTCTAGTCTATAGTCTAGTCTATAGTCTAGTCTATAGTCTAGTCTATAGTCTAGTCTATAGTCTAGTCTATAGTCTAGTCTATAGTCTAGTCTATAGTCTAGTCTATAGTCTAGTCTATAGTCTAGTCTATAGTCTAGTCTATAGTCTAGTCTATAGTCTAGTCTATAGTCTAGTCTATAGTCTAGTCTAGTCTATAGTCTAGTCTATAGTCTAGTCTATAGTCTAGTCTATAGTCTAGTCTATAGTCTAGTCTATAGTCTAGTCTAGTCTATAGTCTAGTCTATAGTCTAGTCTAGTCTATAGTCTAGTCTATAGTCTAGTCTATAGTCTAGTCTATAGTCTAGTCTATAGTCTAGTCTATAGTCTAGTCTATAGTATAGTCTAGTCTATAGTATAGTCTAGTCTATAGTATAGTCTAGTCTATAGTCTTTTGAACTACATTACCAGACCTATAAACTGCACTAGACCATGTAAATCTGTTACACCGTGTTATTAATTACTTTATGCAGCGTGTTATATTATTTATAAACAGCTAATGATTCACATGTGTGATTTAAATATAAATATATTATCACTTGATATACCGACCTTATAAATCTTAAAAGTATTTTACTTGGGACAATCCATTTTTTATTTGATTTCACCGTAATTTTGCTGTATAAAATTGTAATTTTTTTATCATTAATGTCTGTAATCATTATATGGCATTTTTATTATATTATCTATCAATTCCATATGAAATTCTAATTGTTAGCGCAATTATTGTTGTTGTTGTTGAGTTAATAATTATATCTACATATAGACATGTGCTTAAATATGTATCAACTTTTAGAATTGTATAATTATCACACAGATGATAAGTTTTGCATTTAATGATATTTTTGCGAGTTCTGCGTGATCGAGGAAGTTGAATTTTAGTATGATTTGTGTTTTTAAAAACTGATCTGATCTAATGATATCAGATAACTTTAAAAGTATAATTAAATATTTTCTATTTTTATTTAAATGATTTTCACGACTTATTTCGACATTAACTATCTGCAATATCGCTTGTTCGACTTTGTTGCCGACTTTTCGACTTTGTTGCCGACTTTTCGACTTGTTAGAAAAGCTATTCGACTTTAACTTTGCGACTTTTATCTACAAAAATTCGATTGTGCAAAAGATTTATAGAATCCTAATAATTTCTGAGACCACTATGGGCTGCCGGTGTTCAGCCCCAAGCACATTTTCTTTTATATAGAGAAATGGAAAAATTCCAAATACAAACTATTAAAATATTATAAATTTCAAATGGATTTTTCCATAAGTTTCACATAAAAATGGCAACACTTCCTTATTTAATTTATTAGTGTCGCACGCCGCATTCTATCATATCATGCTACAGTTTAATGAATACACTTGTAATTATCAACAACAACAACAACAAAAATTAACAATTGCTGCTCAAACTTTATTATCTACAATACGTGTTGACCACAAGATATTGGAATTTTTTTCTTATATTTTTTTCAGTAAACATATTGATAAGAATTGATTCCAGGAGTTCAAGGTGTTAGTTAATTATGTGTATTTTGATGTAGAGGAAGAAAACAAAGAAAATTAAAAGACAGACCTCGGAAAAACATTATTAATGTTATTATTGTGGCCTGTAAAAAAATATAAATATTTATAGCCTTATTCATAACAATTTATCAAAGGTTTATAGAACAAATTTTGTTGATAAATTGTTATGAATAGGGCATTTAGAAAATACGAATTCATAACATTGATTATACCGCCCAACGCCTGTTGCCAAAAAGATATATAGTATAACGGTTATTAGTGTTAATAGTTCGGTTTTGATTAGCGGTAAAATATAAAATACACATGACAAAATAAATTCATAAAATTATAATACATGGGGTTTTATGAGGTTTTTAATAAAAGTTTATCATAACAAGAACTTTTTTTAAATTAAATTCCACAAGAATTTATATAAAAACTATAATTATTCAAGTCTTCTGTGACATTGCGGCTTATGGCTGTAATATATTTTTTTTCACTACAGACCGATCTATTTTTGAATGATATATATATAAACTGAGCATTAGTCTTGACGATCGACTAATCTATAGTCTTAACTATAGACTGATCTATAGTCTTATTTTCTTTACTACAGACCGATCTATTTTGAATGATATATAAACTGATCTATAGTCCTATTTTCTTTACTACAGACCGATCTATTATGAATGATATATAAACTGAGCATTAGTCTTGACTATCGACTAATCTATAGTCTTGACTATAGACTGATCTATAGTTTTGACTATAGACTGATCTATAGTCTTGACTATAGACTGATCTATACTCTTGACTGTAGACTGCTGTATAATATGGACTATAGACTGATATATAATCTGACTATCTGTAGACATCACTATAAACTTGGCTATAGACTGCTCTATAGTTTTGACTATGAATTGATCTATAGTCTTGACAATAAACTTATCTATAGTCCTTACTATAGACTGATCTATAGTATTGAATATAGACTGTTGTATAATATGGACTATAAACTGATATATTAACTTGACTATAGACTGCTCTATAGTCTTGACTGTAGACTGATATATAGTTTTGACTATAAACTGATCTATAGTCTTGACCATAAATTGATTTATAGTCTTGACTATAGACTGAACTATACTCTTGACTATAGACTGATCTATAGTCTTGACTATGAATTGATCTGTAGTCTTGACTTGACTATCAGTTATAGTATTAACTGATATAGTTCTGAGTAGAGACTGACCTAGAATCTTGACTATAGTCTTGACTATATATAATTTGTTACAACGAATTACGATAGCTTTATGCCGTTGGCAAAACTATCTTAGCGATATTATAATTAAATCCGTTTTGTTAATTTTTGTTTGTAAATAATTCCGGAATGATGCCATTATTTTAAAAGTGTTTCTCTATATTATTAATCACGATACTGGTGGCTAACTTTGAAAGAAACACATTTCTATAATATCACATTATCAAAATAAAACTTTCCATTAAATGAATGATAGGTTCTATGACCACCTTTTGCAGAATTCAGTTCGGGTTTAAAATTTACCTTATTTTCGTATAATTTTATTACAAATAATAATTTGGTAGAATCTAAGGATTTATAAAATGATGTTTATAATATCATCTGTTACCATGTATACGAATCGAACATCTTAAATTCCAATTAATGTTGTCTGAGTTTTGATTTGATTTTTATCATTATAGCTTATCAAAACATAGTGTTATCGCTTACGTTATCGGCTACATAAATACTTTATAGAGATTATATTTGCACAACAGGCATGAGCAGGTTGTCACTTTCTAAATTTAAATCAAAACTATCATTAATACGGTAAGGTATTAAAAATAAACTACACAAGTTGCTCTAAGAATAATCAAATGAAAACATATAGAATATTGGAACCAAAAACATTTCCAGTTTTGAATTTTTTTTTCAAGTTTGTCCTTCAATATATATTAAACATAAAGAAAATCTTTATCAAAATAATTGTAATCAAAAACCCACTGTTCCAAATATTTATATAGAACATTTATGTCTTTATAACTTCGCCAACTCAGACAAGACCGTGAGATTATTGCGCTTTAAGATTATTTGCCGGTGTTATAATATAAATTGTTCTTGTTTTAATCAAATTTTAACGCGTGGCTTTGAAAATATTTATTTATTTATTTTATTTACTAACGTCTAGTATATTTAAACGGCAAAGAAATTAAAACACAACAAGGAATAATAAATAATTAACTTTTCAATTCATTTGCAGATAATTGTTCGAACAGAGAGTAATGAGAAATCACCAACAACTACAACAGCATGGGAGATAATGTCAAAGTAACAGCAACAACAGGATCTACAAATGGTACCACAGTGACCACAAATGGTGACACTACGGGCCATAAAACCAAATTGACAGAGACTGCTAATTTACCGAAATTAATAATAACCGATAATAAAATAAACTACAATGAGAAACCGGTAAAAACGAAACCCGCCAAAAAGAAACGTAGAGATAAAAGTGATTTGGGTGATAATTTTGTAGCGCCCGATGGCGGTTGGGGTTGGTTTGTGTCCATAGCCAGTGGTGTTAATATAGTAAGTTTGTGATATATTTAAAATTTAAGATGTTTTAATGAAATTCTTTTGCTTGCAGTTGGTAACATTGCTTTGGCTCAACAATTTGGTATTATTTTCCGTGATCATATGGCTCAATTGGGCATATCAAGTTCCCAATTAACTACAATTATTAATATACAAATGGCTGTATCAGCTATAACAGGTGAGTGGGACGAAATTTTAACAAAACTCTTTAATTTAAAAGGAAAGCTTTCCAGAAAATTCACAAGGAAGCATTTTTGAAGAATGTAATAATTCACATTTATGTTTAGATTGTGTCCCTGGATCCAAAGTTTAGTTAGCTTAATCAGTCAGTCAGTCAGTTAGTTAGTTAGTTAGTTAATTAGTTAGTTAGTTAGTTAGTTAGTTAGTTAGTTAGTTAGGTTAGTTAGTTAGTTGTTAGTTAGTTAGTTAGTTGTTAGTTCGTTTGGTTAGTTAGTTAGTTAGTTAGTTAGTTAGTTAGTTAGTTAGTTAGTTAGTTAGTAGTTAGTAGTTTGAGTAGAGTTAGTTAGTTAGTTAGTTAGTTAGTTAGTTAGTAGTAGTTAGTTAGTTAGTTAGTTAGTTAGTTAGTTAGTTAGTAGTTAGTTAGTTAGTTAGTTAGTTAGTTAGTTAGTTAGTTAGTTAGTTAGTTAGTTAGTTAGTTAGTTAGTTAGTTAGTTAGTTAGTTAGTTAGTGTTAGTTAGTTAGTTAGTAGTTAGTTAGTTAGTTAGTTAGTTAGTTAGTTAGTTAGTTAGTTAGTTAGTTAGTAGTTAGTTAGTTAGTTAGTTAGTAGTAGTTAGTTAGTTAGTTAGTTAGTTAGTTAGTTAGTTAGTTAGTTAGTAGTTAGTTAGTTAGTTAGTTAGTTAGTTTTTTAGTTAGTTAGTTAGTTAGTAGTTAGTTAGTTAGTTTAGTTAGTAGTTAGTTAGTTAGTTAGTTAGTTAGTTAGTTAGTTAGTTAGTTGTTGTTAGTTGGTTAGTTAGTTAGTTAGTTAGTTAGTTAGTTAGTTAGTTAGGTTAGTTTGTTCGTTAGTTAGTTAGTTAGTTAGTATGTAGTTAGTTAAGTTAGGTTAGTTAGTTAGTTAGTTAGTTAGTTAGTTAGTTAGTTCGTGAGTTCGTTCGTAGTGAGTTAGTTAGTTAGTAGTAGTTAGTTAGTTAGTAGTTAGTTAGTTAGTTAGTTATAGTTAGTAGTTAGTTAGTTAGTTAGTTAGTGTAGTTAGTTAGTTAGTTAGTTAGTTAGTTAGTTAGTTAGTTAGTTAGTTAGTTAGTTAGTTAGTTAGTTAGTTAGTTAGTTAGTTAGTAGTTAGTTAGTTAGTAGTTAGTTAGTTAGTTAGTTAGTTAGTTAGTAGTTAGTTCGTGTAGTAGTTAGTTAGTTAGTTAGTTAGTAGTTAGTTAGTTAGTTAGTAGTTAGTTAGTTTAGTTAGTTAGTAGTTAGTTAGTTAGTTAGTTAGTTAGTAGTTAGTTAGTTAGTTAGTTAGTTAGTTAGTTAGTTAGTTAGTTAGTTAGTTAGTTAGTTAGTTAGTTAGTTAGTTAGTAGTAGTTAGTAGTTAGTTAGTTAGTTAGTAGTTAGTTAGTTAGTAGTAGTTAGTTAGTTAGTAGTTAGTTAGTTAGTTAGTTAGTTAGTTAGTTAGTTAGTTAGTTAGTTAGTAGTTAGTTAGTTAGTTAGTTAGTTAGTTAGTTAGTTAGTTAGTTAGTTAGTTAGTTAGTTAGTTAGTTAGTTAGTTAGTAGTTAGTTAGTTAGTTAGTTAGGAGTTAGTTAGTTAGTAGTAGTTAGTTAGTTAGTTAGTTAGTTAGTTAGTTAGTAGGTTAGTTAGTTAGTTAGTTAGTTAGTTAGTTAGTTAGTTAGTTAGTTAGTTAGTTAGTTAGTTAGTTAGTTAGTGTAGTTAGTTAGTTAGTTAGTTAGTTAGTTAGTTAGTTAGTTAGTTAGTAGTTAGTAGTTAGTTAGTTAGTTAGTGAGTTAGTTAGTTAGTTAGTAGTTAGTTAGTTAGTAGTTAGTAGTTAGTTAGTTAGTTTAGTTAGTTAGTTAGTTAGTTAGTTAGTTAGTTAGTTAGTTAGTTAGTTTAGTTAGTTCGGTTAGTTAGGTTATGTTTATTTAGTTAGTTAGTTAGTTAGTTAGTTAGTTAGTTAGTTCGTAGTTAGTTAGTTAGTTAGTAGTTAGTTAGTTAGTTAGTTAGTGAGTTAGTTAGTAGTTAGTTAGTTAGTTAGGTTAGTTAGTTAGTAGTTAGTTAGTTCGTAGTTAGTTAGTTAGTTAGTTAGTTAGTTAGTTAGTTAGTTAGTTAGTTAGTTCGTTAGTTAGTAGTTAGTTAGTTAGTTAGTTAGTTATGTTTTAGTAGTTAGTAGTTAGTTAGTTAGTAGTTAGTTAGTTAGTTAGTTAGTTAGTTAGTTAGTTAGTTTAGTTAGTTAGTTAGTTAGTTAGTTAGTAGTAGTTAGTTAGTTAGTTAGTGAGTAGTTAGTTAGTTAGTTAGTTAGTTAGTTAGTAGTTAGTTAGTTAGTTAGTTAGTTAGTTAGTTAGTTAGTTAGTTAGTTAGTTAGTTAGTTAGTTAGTTAGTTAGTTAGTTAGTTAGTAGTTAGTTAGTTAGTTAGTTAGTTAGTTAGTTAGTTAGTTAGTTAGTAGTTAGTTAGTTAGTTAGTTAGTTAGTTAGTTAGTTAGTTAGTTAGTTAGTTAGTAGTAGTTAGTTAGTTAGTTAGTAGTTAGTTAGTTAGTTAGTTAGTTAGTTAGTTAGTTAGTTAGTTAGTTAGTTAGTTAGTTAGTTAGTTAGTTAGTTAGTTAGTTAGTTAGTTAGTTAGTTAGTTAGTTAGTTAGTTAGTTAGTTAGTTAATTTCACACACTAAGTAAATGTTTAACATGATTTATTAACTTGGAACCGACAGACATGACGCAAATAAAAAAATAATCTATGATTTAATCTTTATCGCAGTAATTACACAGCTGAACTTCTTCTTCAAAGAAAATTTACTTATTTAAATACATATATAAAGCTAAAAGAAATCCAAGCAAATTATTTTAAATCAAATGAAACAATTTCCGGAAATTTTGATTCGTATTCATCTTAGGAATTCGTTAACTGAACTTGACAAATACAACATAATTTATCTTATTTATCATGGGAATCGAAATATGACTAATTTGTAATCTCTCTCTCTTTTATAGGTCTTCTAAACGGTCCCCTGTTCCGAAGATTTTCCTTCCGTCAAGTGGCTTTGTTTGGTTCATTTCTTACATTTTTAGGTCTATTTGCTTGTGCTTTTGCCAATTCATTCTTATTATATTGTCTATCATTTTCTGTGTGTTATGGTAAGTTCAACCGTATTGAAAAGCTTCCTAATATGAATAATTCTAAACAATTTGTTAAACTTCAGGTTTCGGTCGTGGTCTAACCGTTTCGGCCTCTTCATTAGCTGTAAATACTTATTTCAAAGAAAGAAGACGTACTGCCACCGCCTATCAGTTTGGTGTAGCTGGCTTGGGTCCTATTGTTACCATATGTAGCTACTTTTCTGTTAGATTATTTTGGAGTACAAGGTACGGTACTGTTCTTTGCGGGTCTTTCCTTGAATACGGTGGCTTGTTCCCTGATATATCAACCAGTAAAATGGCATGTTAAGAAACAACCTAAAGATGCTGAGGCATCTAAAAAACTAACTGCGCGTGATGAAGATGATCATATAATAGCTAATCCGGTGTGGAACCAGAAACACCCGTTTTGCCACGTGCCAATGATGGTTGGTTTGGTTCAAAAACCTCTTTAAATTCACCTTCCATTAGAAATAGATTAGGTTCTTGGGACAAGACACAGGAAGGTACGCCAATGATGGAGCTGAAACGTTTAAATAGTCGTGATAGCATCAAAAGTAACAGTAATTCAGCCAAAGTACGTAGTTTTTTCGGTTAGTTACAGTATTAAGGAAGTGGAGGAACATGAAGATGAGGAACATGATGTTAACTATAAGGAGGGCGAGAACAAGGAACAGCAGCATAATGGTGCAGCTTTAACAGAACTACAACTTTTAAGAGAAAAACAACATGAAAAAGAGCTGGAACAGGCCAGAATTGAAGAAGAACATGAAAGACGTAAGAAACTACCCTGGTACATGAAAGTGGTGGTGTTTTTCGATTTGGATTTATTGCGTGATTTAACCTATGTAAATCTGTCCATGGGTTTGACTTTAATCAATTTTGTGGAAATTAATTTTGCCATTTTAACACCGTTTATTTTATCGGATTTTGGCTTTGAAAAACATCAAATTGCCTTGGCCATGTCATTGCTGGGCACCTTTGACTTAATTTTACGTTTCCTTATACCCGTTATAACAGCAAAGATCAATTTGAGTAACAAGACCTTTTTTGTCTTGGGCATTATGGGCATGTGTATTGGTCGCATCTTTTTATCGTTTACCAGAAATTTCTATGTTATGATTGCTATATTTATATGGTTGGGTTTAAATAAGGCCTTCCGTACCGTTTTCTGGTCTTTGATTATACCCGGTTATGTGCCACTGAAGAGGCTACCAGCTGCTGCTGGCTTACAGTTGCTAATGTCTGGTCTATTTTCCCTAGCTTTTGGTCCACTAATTGGTAAGAGTTTTATATTTAAAAACTACTACAAATTTTATTTATTCTCTTTACGCTTCCTTTTAGGTCTTATACGTGATAATACCAGTTATGCTTTTGCTCTAAACTTCCTTAATGCTTTATGTTTATTGGCCATTGCCGGCTGGGTCTTGGAAGCTTTTGTGCGTAAATATAGAAATAAACCAAAACCGGTAACTGAAAACTTAAAATAAGTTAGTTTAATGTTTAAACTTTTTAAAAATAGAGCTTTTATAAAAGTTGTTTTTTTTTAGTTTCAACTGTTAAGAGATCTGTTCAATAATTTAAAATATTGCCAATTATTTTTCAAAGTTTAAAAAATATGTGATAAAGTTAACAAACAGATCTTATGTTTTATAAAATATTTGTATATATATTTTTTTAATGTAAACTTATTGTAATTTTTATGTACATTCTTTAAGCTTAATTTCACAATTGTTTTTTAATTTAACATTTTGTTTATTTTATTATTATTTTACTGTTAGTTAGTTATGTTAAAACACTGTAATATTACATTAATAGTTTAATATTTTTAGTATAATAAAATTTATAATTAATGAGCATTTTGTTCAAAGAGATTCCACAAATAAATATAAATTATAAAAAAATTAAAAAAAAAAATATTTCCATATTTTTGTCCCGATATATATGAGTCAATTATGGACCGATATAGATTTAAGTGGGTAATACGATTTCTATTGATGTTCATAATACTAATATTCTATAGGGAGTTAATTGCAATTAATGCACTTTTCCGCAAATGTGAATATTTATATGGAGGCTATATGAAATTTTGAACCGATTCCAATAATTTTTAATAGAGTTAATCTCTGGGTAAAAAAAGAGACCTGTAACAAAATTTGTTGCAATATTTAGATGTCATAGTGTCTGAAAAGAACTAATCAAGGACGAGAAAAAAGGGGCAATATTTTCAAGGGTTCTATTGGAATTTTACTCATATCACCGTTATTTATGGATCAATTTTGCTGATATTAAATAGTAAACTTCTTGAAAGTATTTATTTTCCATTACAAATTATATTCTTAAATAATTTACTGAGCATTACGATGACATTACACCCTTTGTAGAGAAGCAGATCAGAGTCTCTTTTGGGAATCGAAACTACAACCCCCAGGGCTCCGAAAATCTTGAAAACATGTCCGAATTGGATACCTTTTAATAAATTAATTTCAACAAACATACCGATAGACCGACAAGTAAATCGACTTTGTAATCTATAATGATCGGAAAATTATACTTTGAGAATTACAAACTTATACTTATATACCCTTACTTTTGCTTTCGAAAACTTAAATCCGGTTGTAAAGTCGCTAAAATACACGTTTTTTTGTCTGTAACAACTTAGAATCAATGAAAGCTTTTTTTAAATGTCAAAGAGAATAAAATAAATTTTTACAGTTGAGAGAGTATAAATTAAAATATGATAAATATCAATATATTGTTGTTGTAGACGTCTAATGGAAAAGCAAAACTTTACGTAAACTATAATTAGTTGGCATTAGAAAACGAAACAAAAAGGGCACTTTTTTTAATGATTTTATTAAAAAGCGCATTAAACAAAGAACAATTTTTTTTTTTGATTTGTAAAGAAAATAATTCATATCACCAAAATTGTAACAAATAAAATGTGAATAAATTTAAAACTTGTAATAATTAATAATAGTAATAATAAATTATTAAAAATAATCGTTATCGGGTTTAAACCAATATGAGATCGATCATCTATTTAATAACTTTTATTTTATCCAAAGTGATCACAAACCTTTATAACTTCAGATGAATATGATTACATGATTATAGACCCTAAAGTGTTTGACTAAGTAATGACGTAATTCGCGCGCGCCAAAATTTGTAATTTATTCATATCTTTTTTATTTGTGAACTGTTACTTGCGACTTTTTCTATAATATTGGAGAATTATTTGATCATATATATAATCACTTTCTAAATATAATTATTTCTAAATATATAATTATTAATTTTATAAATTGGCACGTTCCCTTGGCCATAACTCATATTACGCGCTATTGAATGTAATGAACGCTATATTTTTTTTATAAAATGTTTCTGATAACAATAAAAAACGGGATTAAAATGATGACAAGAACCGTATAACTTTTAGAGTAAAATTGAAATTATAAAATATGGTGACGACGATTTGCTCAAGAATGAGAAGACATCAAAACGTTTACCTTTTATGGATCAAGGGATACGGCGTTAACCATGGCAATATCATTGGTGGAGAACTAGCAAGAATATGGGCTAAACAGAATAGACTATACACTAGAATAGACTAGACTAGACTATAGACTAGACTATAGACTAGACTATAGACTAGGACTATAGACTAGACTATAGACGAGACTATAGACGAGACTATAGACTAACTATAGACTAGACTATAGACTAGACTATAGACTAGACTATAGACTAGACTATAGACTAGACTATAGACTAGACTATAGACTAGACTATAGACTAGACTATAGACTAGACTATAGACTAGACTATAGACTAGACTATAGACTAGACTATAGACTAGACTATAGACTAGACTATAGACTAGACTATAGACTAGACTATAGACTAGACTATAGACTAGACTATAGACTAGACTATAGACTAGACTATAGACTAGACTATAGACTAGACTATAGACTAGACTATAGACTAGACTATAGACTAGACTATAGACTAGACTATAGACTAGACTATAGACTAGACTATAGACTAGACTATAGACTAGACTATAGACTAGACTATAGACTAGACTATAGACTAGACTATAGACTAGACTATAGACTAGACTATAGACTAGACTATAGACTAGACTATAGACTAGACTATAGACTAGACTATGACAGACTATAGACTATATAGACTAGACTAGACTATAGACTAGACTATAGACTAGACTAAGACTAGACTATAGACTAGACATAGACTAGACTATAGACTAGACTATAGACTAGACTATAGACTAGACTATAGACTAGACTATAGACTAGACTAGACTAGATAGACTAGACTATAAGACTAGACTATAGACTAGACTATAGACTAGACTATAGACTAGACTATAGACTAGACTAGAGACTAGACTATAGACTAGACTATAGACTAGACTATAGACTAGACTATAGACTAGACTATAGACTAGACTATAGACTAGACTATAGACTAGACTATAGACTAGACTATAGACTAGACTATAGACTAGACTATCGACTAGACTATAGACTAGGACTATAGACTAGACTATAGACTAGACTATAGACTAGACTAGACTAGACTCTAGACTAGACTATAGCTAGACTATATGACTAGACTATAGACTAGACTATAGACTAGACTATAGACTAGACTATAGACTAGACTATAGACTAGACTATAGACTAGACTATAGACTAGACTATAGACTAGACTATAGACTAGACTATAGACTAGACCTATAGACTTAGACTATAGACTAGACTACTAGACTAGACTATAGACTAGACTATAGACTAGACTATAGACTAGACTATAGACTAGACTATAGACTAGACTATAGGACTAGACTATAGACTAGACTATAGACTAGACTATAGACTAGACTATAGACTAGACTATAGACTAGACTATAGACTAGACTATAGGACTAGACCTATAGACTAGACTATAGACTAGGACTATAGACTAGACTATAGACTAGACTATAGACTAGACTATAGACTAGACTATAGACTAGACTATAGACTAGACTATAGACTAGACTATAGATAGACTATAGACTAGACTATAGACTCGACTATAGACTAGACTATAGACTAGACTATAGGACTAGGACTATAGACTAGACTATAGACTAGACTATAGACTAGACTATAGGACTAGACTATAGACTAGACTATAGACTAGACTATAGACTAGACTATAGACTAGACTATAGACTACGACTATAGACTAGACTATAGACTAGACTTAGACTACCAACTATAGGACTAACATAGACTACACTATAGACTAGACTGAGACTAGACTATAGACTAGACTATAGACTAGACTATAGACTAGACTATAGACTAGACTATAGACTAGACTGTAGACTAGACTATAGACTAGACTATAGACTAGACTATAGACTAGACTATAGACTAGACTATAGACTAGACTATAGACTAGACTATAGACTAGACTGTAGACTAGACTATAGACTAGACTATAGACTAGACTATAGACTAGACTATAGACTAGACTATAGACTAGACTATAGACTAGACTATAGACTAGACTATAGACTAGACTATTGACTAGACTATAGACTAGACTATAGACTAGATTATAGACTAGACTATAGACTAGACTATAGACTAGACTATAGACTAGATTATAGACTAGATTATAGACTAGTCTATAGACTAGACTATAGACTAGACTACAAAGTACATTATAGACTACATATAGACTATAGACTAGAATAGAGACTGCTTATCAAAAGTTCTTAAGCTACAAAAGGTGCCTCAAAAGTCGTAGGGGTAGTGCGGTATTTTTCGAAGTTAGGAAGAACTAAAGTGCTGAATTTTCCATGCCGGTTATGAATCAAAGTTGAACTTATTGCGGTATAACTGTCGCGGAAACATAATCTAAATAAACCACAATACAAATAACAACATTAGATCGGACTAATTTCAGATTCCATGTGATTAAAAAGATTGAGATTGAGAGTAATGCCAAATTCATAAACTCAACATTATGGGAGGAGATCATGCATCAACTGATCATAAAATGTCAAATGTACCTAAACTTAAACCGGTAAAAAAGAAACGAAGAGACAAAAGTGATTTGGGTGATAATTTTGTTGCGCCCGATGGTGGTTGGGGTTGGTGTGTCTCTATAGCCAGTGGTATTAATAAAGTAAATAGTTTAATCAAATTTATAAGAGTTCTTATGCTTATTGAGAGAAAATTTTTATTCGTTATTATAGGTAGTAGCATTTGCTTTGGTCCAACAATTCGGTATTATTTTTCGTGATCGTTTTACACAATTGGACATTACTAACTCACAATTAACAACAATTATTAATATACAAATAGCTGTATCAGCTATAACAGGTAAGTTCTAAACTTTCGTTCCACTGATGATTGTGGTTCGTTTCCCACGAGAAGTCTTTTCCGTTTCACTACAACGATCACCATTGGCCTGCCCGATAAATTAAGTTAGATTATAAATTTGTATATCCTCCTCTTTTTAGGCCTTTTAAATGGACCTTTATTTCGCAGATTTTCTTTTCGCCAAGTGGCTGTGTTTGGTTCATTTATTACCTTCATAGGATTATTTGCCACAGTCTTTGCAAATTCCTTTCTGTTCTATTGTTTATCGTTTTCTTTATGTTACGGTGAGTTCGACAATTTCTAAAGAATTTCAAAATTTTGATTAATATTTATTTTATTCCCTATATTGTAGGTTTTGGTCGGGGTCTAATTGTAAATGCCTCTTCGTTAGCTTTAAATACCTATTTTAAAGTGAAAAGACGCACAGCTACTGCCTATCATTATGGTGTAGTCGGATTGGGTCCCATTTTCTTGCCCTATGTTGCTACTTTTTTCCTAGATTACTTTGGGGTACAAGGAACTGTTTTATTATTTGCTGGCCTTTCCTTGAATACTATAGCCTGTTCTCTTATATATCAACCGGTAAAATGGCATGTTAAAAAATTATCGAAAGATAGTGAAGCTTCCGAAAAACTTACTGATCCAAAGGAAGATGATATTATAGCGGGGGATTTAGAAATACCAGTATTAGCTAGTGCCAATGATGGTTGGTTTGGTTCTAAAACCTCAGTGAATTCACTTTCTCCTGCCAATAGAAATAGATTTAGATCTTGCGATAAAAACCAGGGTGATAAAAAGCTCGTGGAATTAAAAGCACTGAATAGTCAAGATTTTGCTAATGAAAGAAGTTTTTCACTTAATTGCAGTATTAAAAACGAACATGATCTAAAAGCTCCTGTTAATAAGGAACAAAATAATAATAAAGCTTTTAAAACAGAAGCTCAATTATTGATACAGATAGAGAAGGAAAATATATCACAACTATTGAAAGCAAAAGAACTAGAACCGACTCTAATCGAGGAAGAAAATGAAAGACGTCGGAAATTACCCTGGTATATGAAAGTAGTCGTATTTTTCGACTTTGATTTATTACGCGATTTTACTTATGTAAATTTAGCTTTGGGATTAACACTCATTAATTTTGCTGAATTAAATTTCAATATATTAATACCATTTATTTTATATGACTTTGGTTTCGAAAGTCAACAAATTGCCTTGGCCATGTCTTTGATGGGTGCCTTCGATTTAATCCTACGTTTCCTAATACCTCTCATAACAAGCATAAGTAAACTAAGCAATAAGGCTTACTTTATCTGGGGCATCTTGGGTATGTGTATAGGTCGTATGTTTTTATCATTTACCAGAAATTTCTATATCATGATTGCCATATTTATATGGTTGGGTTTGAGTAAGGCTTTGCGTACTGTATTTTGGGGTTTGATAATACCCGGTTGTGTGCCGCTAAAAAGATTGCCAGCAGCTGCTGGTCTTCAGTTGCTGATGTCTGGTCTATTTACTTTGACTTGTGGTCCCTTAATAGGTAAGATTTTTGGTATCAGAACGATATATTTTATAAATAAATTTCTTTCGTTTACTTTTAGGTGTTATACGTGATAAAACCAGTTATGCTTTTGCTTTAAACTTTTTCAATATTTTATGTTTATTGGCCATTGCTGGTTGGGTATTGGAGGGATTTTTATTTAAATATAGAAATAAACTAAAACCAATAACTGAAGACTGACAAATAAGAGTATATGTTCCTGTCTTAATTAAAATAAAGAAAATTACTACAAAATGATGTTTTTCACTTACATCGAAGATCCGTCATGAGTTCTCAACACACTTCCTTTACACCACACTTGTAAAGGTTAAAACAGTAAGTAGTAACTTTTCAATAGCTGCCTACTTTTAGGCTTTGTTTTTTATTTCAAAATTCAAAACATAAATCATTTCAAAATTTACGACTGCTATAAAATATTTGTTAAACACACAAATTTAATAAAAAAAAAAAATATTTCTCTCTGCTGTCTGTGTCGGTTTCCTTTGTTTTAGTACCAAAAACTACAAATATTTTCATTATTTCTTTTTGTTAACAAAGTTGTTAAAGCAACGTGTAAATCACTTGATTTAACTTAAATATCACAAAAAAACTATAATAAATAAATACTTAAGGTAATGACTTAAACAATCACCTATTGAGAATTAGACAGAGAGCGTTCGTACGTACGAATTAAATATGCACGACATCAACTTAATTAAAAACCTTAAAAGTTAAAAGAAGGAAAATTCATTCAATTTTAATTCAGAATGTTATAAAAAATACACAGAGACATTGTAATGCAACCAAAAATAGAAGAAAAAACGTAAAACTGGAAACAAGAAAGAATACAAGTGAATAAACGTTAAATGACAATTTGTTTATATTTATTTGTGTATTAGAGACAGATATTTAAAGGGATGATTTGTTTGTGGTCAATAGACTAGGCCATAAAGTAGGCTAGACTTATTAATCGACTAGTCCATAGTCAATAGACTAATTAATTGACTATCTAATAGATTAGTTAATAGACTAGTCCATAGGCTAGTTACTAGACGAGTCAATAGTGCAATCACTAGACAATCAATCAACAGACTAGTAAAGGGACTAGTCAATAGACTGGTCTATTGAATAGCTAATAAACTAGTTAATAGAAAAGTCTATAGGCTAGATAACAGACCAGTCAACAGACTAGATAAAATACTAGTCTAATAAGTAGACTAGTTAATAGGCAAGTCGTTTTAGTAGTCAATAGCATTATTAATAGAATAGTTCATAGTCAATATACAACTAATATAGTCCATAAACTAAGCTGTTAATAGACAAATACATATTATAGTCAATATACTAGTCCATAGTCTAGTCAATAGACTTGACCATATAGTAGTCAACAGAGTAGTCAATAGACCAGCCCATTGAGTAGTCAATGCACTAGTCCATAGAGTAGTTAATAGACTGGTCCATAGAATAGTTAATGCACTAGTCCATAGAGTAGTCAATAGACTGGTCCACAGAATGGTCAATAGACTAGTCCACAGAGTAGTCAATAGACTATTCCATAGAGTAGTCAATATAGACTAGTCCATAGAGTAGTCAATAAATTAGTCAATATGGTAGTCAATATAGAATAGACCATAGAGTAGTCAATGGACCTCACAATATAGTAGTCAACAGACTAGTCTATAGAGTAGTCAAGAGAATTGATCATATTGTAGTCAAAAGACTATTCCATTGAGTGGTCAATAGACTAGTCCACAAAGTAGTCAATAGACTTGTCCATAGGATAGTCAACAGACTAGTACACCATAGAGAACAGTCTATAGAGTAGTCAATAGACAAGTCCATAGAGTAGTCAATATACTAGTTCATAGAGTAGTCAATAAATTAGTCCATATAGTCGTCAACAGAATACACCATAGAGTAGTCAATAGGCAAGTCCATAGAGTAGTCAATAAATTAGACCATATGGTAGTCACTAGACTAGTCCACGAAGTAGTCAACATAGAATACACCATAGAGTAGTCGATAGACTTGACCATATAGTAGTCAACAGACTAGTCTATAGAGTAGCCAAGAGAATTGATCGTATATTAGTCAAAAGACTATTCCATGGAGTCGTTAATAGACTAGTCCATAGATAGTCAACAGACTAGTCCTCAGAGAAGTCAATATAGATTAGAACATAGAATAATAAATAGGATTAACCATATAGTAGTCGATGGTCTAGTCCATAGAGTAGTCAATAGACTAGTTCATAGAATAGTCAGTAGACTAGTCCATATAATAGTTAATAGACTAATCCATAGAGTGGCCTATAGATTTGTCTAAAAAGTAGTCAATATAGAATAGACCATAGAGTAGTCAATAGACTTGACAAGTCCATAGAGTAGTCAATATACTAGTTCATAGAGTAGTTAATAAACTAGTCCATATGGTAGTCAATAGACCAGTCCACAAAGTAGTCAATATAGATTAGACCATAGAGTAGTCAATAGACTTGACCATATAGTAGTTAACAGACTAGTCTATAGAATAGTCAAGAGAATTGATCATATAGTAGTCAAAAGACTATTCCAAAGAGTGGTCAATAGACCAATTCATAGAGTAGTCAATAGACTTGTCCATAGTATAGTCAAAAGACTAGTCCACAGAGAAGTCAATATGGATTAGACCATAGAATAGTCAATAGGATTGACCATATAGTAGTCGATGGACTAGTCCATAGAGTATTCAATAGACTAGTTAATAGAATAGTCAGTAGAGTAGTCAATATACAATTCCATAGAGAAGTCAATAGACTAGCCCATAAAGTAGTATATGGAATAGGCCATAGAGTAGTCAATAGACTAATTAATGGACAAGTTTATAGAGTAGTCAATAGTCTAGTCCATAGAGTAGTCCATAGACTAGCAATAGACAACTCAATAAACTAGTCCATATCTGAGTCGCTGTAATGACAGATCGGCTCATAATTTGTATATGCCAAACTTCAGATCAGACTCGAATGAAAACATTCTTTTAACAACCATGAATTCTACGAAGGCGCTGCGTGTACTTTTGAATAAAACACGATTTGTTAAATTCTCTAGAACTGATCAGTATTTAAATGTACTCAGTATTGTATGGTATTTGTTGTTTGTTATAATTTATGTAATGAAATTAATTTAAATGAATTTGTTTTGTATACAAATTAATAAAAATAATTTTATATGCACAACAGTTTTATTTGTTTTTCTAAGTTTACGAGACAAAAAATTATATTTGTTTAAATTTTTTTAAAGTCGCCACAACACACACACACAAAACAATAGATGAATGAATGAATGAAATGATTGTCCCCACTTAAAGAAAAATTTAAATTAAGAAAATCGTAAATAACAGCAACCACCCAAATTGAAACCTTAATAAGAATAATATTAAATTCAAAGAAAAAGGAAAAATATTTTTATTTTGGACTTTTTCATAATATTACTGATATAAATTTTGAAAAAAAAAAAACATTCTTCAAACTCAAGTGCATAAATACCGGTTAAAAAAAAAAAAAAAACACACAAACAGCTCCAAAACACAACAACAAGCAATTACTCAATGATCAGAATTTCAGTGCGTGCAGCAACAATGAAATTGATCACCACCACTTAAATACTAGACTAGTGTTAGAGAGTGCAGCAGAGTCAGCTAGATTTTAATTGAAATTAATTGATTGTGAAACGCTAAACAATGACACATGAAAAATTAGTAATATATTTGTATCTAGGAGATACAAAAAATTAAAAGTAATAAAATATGAAATAATAAATAATGAATTGAATAAATTAATGAATTAATTAAGTAAAGTAAATATTTATTGCATTGTAAAAATAAGAAAAGAGTTCAAACTTTACCTAAATTATATTCGGAGTTATTGCACTTGTATTTTAGGTTCTTAACAGATCAAGTGGAATTTCTCGATGTATAGTGAGGGGAGGGGGAGTTAAAAAGCTGTTTTGACGTATTGTCGGCAATTAAGTGTTTGAGTTGTCTGGTGCTCTTACCCTCTTATGGTAAGAGGGGAATTTTTAAATATTTATAAAGTATATTTGAAAACATGTGTTCGTTAATAAATATTATGTAATTTGTCTACCTTATTTTTATAAAATAATAAATTTATTTATAAAATCTTAAAAAATAAAAAACTTTTTAATATTTAGGGAAGATCAGTTAGTTAGATAGTTAGTTAGTTAGTTAGTTAGCTAGCTAGTTAGTTAGTTAGTTAGTTAGTTAGTTAGTTAGTTAGTTAGCTAGCTAGTTAGTTAGTTAGTTAGTTAGTTAGTTAGTTAGTTAGTTAGTTAGTTAGTTAGTTAGTTAGTTAGTTAGTTAGTTAGTTAGTTAGTTAGTTAGTTAGTTAGTTAGTTAGTTAGTAGTTAGTTAGTAGTTAGTTAGTTAGTTAGTTAGTTAGTTAGTTAGTTAGTTAGTTAGTTAGTTAGTTAGTTAGTTAGTTAGTTAGTTAGTTAGTTAGTTAGTTAGTTAGTTAGTTAGTTAGTTAGTTAGTTAGTTAGTTAGTTAGTTAGTAGTTAGTTAGTTAGTTAGTTAGTTAGTTAGTTAGTTAGTTAGTTAGTTAGTTAGTTAGTTAGTTAGTTAGTTAGTTAGTTAGTTAGTTAGTTAGTTAGTTAGTTAGTTAGTTAGTTAGTTAGTTAGTTAGTTAGTTAGTTAGTTAGTTAGTTAGTTAGTAGTTAGTTAGTTAGTAGTTAGTTAGTAGTTAGTTAGTTAGTTAGTTAGTAGTTAGTTAGTTAGTTAGTTAGTTAGTTAGTTAGTTAGTTAGTTAGTTAGTTAGTTAGTTAGTTAGTTAGTTAGTTAGTTAGTTAGTTAGTTAGTTAGTAGTTAGTTAGTTAGTTAGTAGTTAGTTAGTAGTTAGTTAGTTAGTTAGTTAGTTAGTTAGTTAGTTAGTTAGTTAGTTAGTTAGTAGTTAGTTAGTTAGTTAGTTAGTTAGTTAGTTAGTTAGTTAGTTAGTTAGTTAGTTAGTAGTAGTTAGTTAGTTAGTTAGTTAGTTAGTAGTTAGTTAGTTAGTTAGTTAGTAGTTAGTTAGTAGTTAGTTAGTTAGTTAGTTAGTTAGTTAGTTAGTTAGTTAGTTAGTTAGTTAGTTAGTTAGTTAGTTAGTTAGTTAGTTAGTTAGTTAGTTAAAGATGTATATATGTACATCCAATCCGAAGAAATACACCTCTATCGGTTGTATTAAGGTGTGCGCACCTTAACCAGTGTCTCAGGTGGGAATCGAACCC